TAGGTCTGTTGTGAGGACTGAATGAAACAGGGCTTAGATACATGCTAGCTGTTATTCTGTTGTTAGTGCTATTAACACCAGCCATTCAGAACCTAAATCCCTTAGCTTTACACATTCACATTTAATCTTATGGGGCGATTTGGCTCGGAACAAACTGTTTCCCATTAGCCAAGCTCACAAGAGGCCAGAAAACAAAATATTTAGAATGGGAAATTGTTTTCCAACTCTTTGTATGCATATTTGCTCCCCAAGGCCTGTCCTTCTCAGGAGTGAGATATCCCGAAAATGCTACTTGTATTTACAACAAAAGCAAAGGGTGGAGCTGTTGGGTGAAATAAATTTCCAGACTATGACAAAACAGAGATCTGATTCATCACAGAACCACCTTGATTGAGATCAGAATACCCCCAGCCACCCCATACGACACCTTTCCTACTCCCTGAAAGCAGGGATAAGGTTTGCCTAGTTCCCCACTGCCTGACTTACAGAGTAGCTTCTCAATAAATATTTGTTGGCTGGGCGTGGTGGCTCACACCTGTAATCCCAGCACTTTGAGAGGCCAAGCCAGGCTTAGGAGTTCGAGACCAGCCTGGGCAACATAGGGAAACTCCATCTCTACTAAAAACACAAAAATAGTTGGGTGTGGTGGTGCACACCTGTGGTCTCAACTACTCAGGAGGCTGAGGTGGGAGGATCGCTTGAGCCCAGAGGTCAATGCTGCAGTGAGCTGAGATCATGCTACCGCACTCCAGCCTGAGTGACAATGAGACTTGTCTCAATCAATCTATCCATCCATCCATCCATCCATCCATCCATCTATCTAAATATTTGTTAAATCAGTTAATTCCTTGGGCAGGGCAGGTTTAAACATCAACAACTTCTCATTCTTCTCCTCTCCCTTTCTAGATTCTAGGCAAACTGATTCCCTTCTCTTTTGAGCAGGACAATATTCGCTGTGTCACAGCTTTTTGTATATTAGTTGTGTTGTGTTTTCCTGGATGGAAACACCCTGATGAATTGTGGGAAGTGCCCTGCTCTCATCAATAATATGTTAAAAATATTCCAGCGTGCCCCTTATTTGTATACGCTGCAAACATTAACAACGGTGATTATTACCCCAGTGGCTCAGGGTTGGTCTTCCTCCACAACCTGGGGCACTCTGCGGTCCAGGCCCCTCTGGACAGAGGTCAACAGCACATCTTTCTCCGGATGTGTGTGTCTGTATGTGGTTTTTTTTTTTTTTTGGGGGGGGGCGTGCATTACACTTAACATTGCCTTACAGTGTCAGCTTTCTCAGTTCCTCAAAAAACTCCATGAACCATGCCTTCATACTTCCCCCTGGACTTAGCTTGATTCTCCTCAAAGGACAAATCCATCTCTGAGCAATTCTCAAGGCAAAGACACTCAGCCAGACCTAAAGGAGGGTGAGCCCACCTACCTCTTTCAGCTGACACTCAAGGGAGCTTGCCATTATCGGGCTGGCTGCCCACAGGCCAGTTGACAGGTGCCGGGGTTAGACATGTGGGAAGGAAACAGCCACCTTGTTTTCCTGCCTTGGATGGAATTGGCAGAATTCCAGCTGTTCCCTACCGGGGCTCCAGCTCACAGCCCTTGGGTAAAATGTTTAATCATGGAGCTGTATCTCCTGCCCAGCAAATGAGAACCCTGAGACTCGTCACAGTAGCTGTCCCGTCCACTTGGCTTTAAAAGTGTCCAGCACCCTCCATCAGTTGATTCTCTGCAATAAAACGTGCACACCGGGTACTTCCCTGAGAGGTTTTAGAGCGCCAAGGGGCAAAGCTTCCTGAAAGAGCCCTCAGGATCTGATTCAGATTCAGCAAATGAATTTCACCAAGGTAATCCTGAGTAGTTGAGTTCTCTCTCCCCCTTCCTCCTCCCTCTTCCTTCTCCTCCCCCGCCATATCTCCACAAGTTGTAACCTGGCATGCCTGCTCTCCGAGGCCAGAAATATGACAAATATTCAGATAAGCCGATGGAATTTAAAAGTTCAGGTTTATTGCTTTGCTAATGAGAACTGCAGGGCACACTTCAGAATGTGAGGTGTGCCTCTCTCAGCTTTGCTTGTAGTACAAATTCGGCACCTAGCAACGCACCACGAACCCGGGAAACGCTTAATGACTGTTTGCAGAATGAATTAATGCATCTTATTTTAATGTATTATGACAATTTCATTCTTAAAAGGATATGATGGAGAGCATTTAATGTAAAAGTATTTTCGTAACGTTAGAAAATTTTGTTTTTATGTTTAAGGGGCTTAAAGTGAGGTCAACCTTTAATTTCAAGTTCAACCTCTTTTTTTTTTTTTAATAGCAGAGTACTGTAGTAAAAATAGCTTGAGGCTTGAAGTTAGACCTATTTTTCACACCCAGTTCTGGTATATTCCGAGATAAGAGTGTGTAATCTACAGGTGTTATGAGGATGGAAAGAAGTAGCCAGGAGCATTCCGAGCACGTGGTGGGTGATGGGAATGGGAGGAAGGTGGTGTCCTTATTTTCTTGGCCTGACTCTCCAATGTCACGCCAAGGCTTGGGGTCCTTCTAATTCTACAGTGTAGAGTCACTTGCGTGCTGCTCATTTTACAGAAGCCAAAGAAAGAAGGCGTTTAGTCCCATCAGCCACGTCCAGACGTAGCCTTCTCGTGCCCGGACACATTTTTTAAATTGTGCTTTTCTATATTCAATGCTACTCTGGGTCTTATACACCAGCACAACGCTGAGGCCTCCCTCGCAAAGCCTCTAACAGACCTAATCTTCATTACGTGCCTTCAGCGCAACAAAAACTCTGAACAACTCATGAGGATTTCAGGGCCTCCTAACTGGCAAGCGTTTCGGGGAAATCACAGGGAAATTTGTTGGCCGCATGATTAATCCTGGGTGGATTGGTCCCGGAAAAGCGCGTATGGGTTAGCAGCAAGCAGCAGCTTGCAGGATCTCACAAAATAAACTGTCTAACGAAGAGGCCCCAAAAAAACGTGCCTTCCGGATGAAAGTTCAGCATGAGGGTGGGGCCTGACAATGGAAGAAAACACCAGATGTGTGGACAACAGACCTCCTTTGAATCCACACTAACACCCAAAGAGACGACACATGGGACCAGATTATAAAACTCAACCTGATTATAACCCCGGGGGAGGGAAGCCCAGTAGGGCGTAGGATCTTAAGAAAAGGATCATAAAATTCATCACCATAATTACCCCCCAGCCCAGCTCCTCAACACAAGCCAACAATAGCTTCGCTCAGTGAAGTTATTCATCCATATTCAAGTTGCCTCGCTCATTATTCTCAGACAAAAAGCCTGTTAGACCTCTGTTCCTCCGGCAGCCAGGCAACTCAGCACCCACCCTCACTCGGCCAGCCCCCCCGCCCAAACCATTGCTTTCTTTAGCAGTGGAGTTTCTAGTACCAACGATGGTTTTTTGGTTTTACTGCCATCTTTTAGGACTGCTTCTGACATTCAGGAGCTGGCTGAAGATAATCACAGCTAAAGCTTTCCTACGTGAAAACAAAGGATGTTACCAGCAGCTGTTTCTCCCGCACTGCTGGGATGCTGAAGTGAGGGCCCTCCCTCACTTTGCCCTGATGAGCACAAAAGGTGTCATTTGCAAATTGTCTCGCCAAAAAGGAAATGTAAGTGAAAATACAGAACTGTATATATTCCAGTGGGAAGAGAAGTTCCAAAGACCGGACTGCCACGAATAACCTGTGGCTCCTATAAAAAGGGTGGCTCAGTCCCTTTAAAGCAGTCAGCCCAGCACCGCGCAGTGCACTCTATCATTTTCCTAAGACTGGGTATTTTTGTCTGTGTGGACAATTGGAGGAGCCCAGATTAAGTGCAACCCTCCTGCAAGCCACGCCCTCTCCAAGAAGCATTCCTCTGGGCCTAGGCCTACCTCCATCCTCAGTTTGGAAAATGTTTACTTTTCACAGCACAGCTCAGCAACCTCCAGCCCCAAAGATCACAAGTTAGCTTACAATTCCTTCAACCAACGTTTAGTGAGCAACTACTACGTGCCAGGCGTTGTTTTGGCCATGGGGACATCAAGGCTAGATGTAGCTGCGTCCTCCAGAGCATATGTTCCATTGAGGAAACGTAAAAATAAAAACCCAAGAAAAGAAACAAAACGGTGACAGATGTCAGCGGAGACCACCAACACAGCAACCCAGCAGAAAGAGGGAAGGCTCTAGCAGAGGCAAAGGGGAATGGAAGATGTGGATGCCCCCACCCCAACATGGGAGCCAATACGTTTAAAACATAAGGAGTCGCCAACAGGCTTTGGGTCACTGATGTTGTGGCCTAAGATGAACACGTGGCTCAAATCCCCTTAAACCTCAATGTTCATAACCCGCAACCATCCTCATGCACTCCACACTCCTCGGAAGCCTCCCCTTGGACCTTTTCCACCCACACTATCCTCTAAAGAGGATAAAGGAGGCCTCTTCCAGTCCACTGATGGGGTGCTGAGTGCGTCCAACAGGCAGGGCGCCAGACTAGGTAGTCCCAAGGGGGGCCAGGGCCACCACAGAGGGGAGAACCCTCCTCTTGGCCCCAGCCCTCCTCAAAGTCCGGATTCTATGGGGGCGAGCCTCTCCCGAGGCGTGCGCATGCCTCCAACACACCGCCCTATAGGAAGGAAACCCCAGTCCCTGCTGCCAGTGAGCGGGGGCAGCCTACTGTGATCCTTCCACCCGATCTCTCTGGTGCGGCCGACTCGGAGGGAGGCCCCCTCTGCTGCCCACCTTGCAGCCTGTGGATTCCGGGGCTCCTCCTGGCACACCCGCGCAGCTGCGTCTTTGGGACCTGGCACCGGCTGAGCCGCTGCCTCTCCTCCTCCGGCGCTGGGCCGCCTGGCACGCACACAAACCCTCAGTTCCCCCGCGCTTCCCCGGACAACCTCGAATGCCAGGCCCGGGCATTCCAGCAAGTCTCTGCTCGCTCGTCCCCATCAGCGACCGCGGGAAGCCACTTGCCCTGGGTCTTACCTCCTTCTGCCAGGACCCAGAGCGACGCGCTCCCCAGAACGAAGAGCAGAGCTGACACCTTCCACATCGTTCCCGACGAGTTGCTCTCCTGGGGGCCGAGCAGCGAGTTTCTGCGATCGGGGAAGATTCAAAAGCGCCGCGGCCACAGGCCCAGCCTGGAGGAGCGTGACGGTGGGGGTCGGAGGGTGGGAGCGGCAGCCCCGGCGCAGGAGGTGCGCGAGCTTCCCAGGCCCCAGGGAGCCGGACGGCAAACTTTGCAGCAGAGAACTTTCCGAGCGGAGTCAGCATTTATCTCTCCCGAGGAGGCGGGGGGAGCGGGGTCGGCCGCAAGGTGGTCTCCGTCCCGGCGCGCTGGGCCCGCCCTCGGGCTCTGTTTGGCCAGCGCCAAAACGATGATCTCAGGCCAGGTTTAAAGTTACAGGGCCGCAGCTGCGGGGCCGCCAGCACTACGGGCCCTAGCAAAATGGGCTTTTATTCTGTTCAACAACAGGAGGGAAAGGGACCACATGCAACAAGAGGGGTTTAAAAAAACAATAAATGTTTTAAAACCCTATATTTATTATTCTTTTTGTTGTTGTTAAGAGTAAGTTACGAGTCTGTTTTTCTCGTTATGGGCAGAGGTAAGAAGTAAACTGTTCCTTGAGTGGCCAGTAGTTTAAGAACCAAGCATCGGGTTGTTCCTGTAAATATTGAATTTGCTGGCTTAAAAAAAAAAAAAAAAGTTGGCTGTCATCTGGGTGGGCCGGAGGCGGCGCGCGCTGGTCAATTGCGCCCTTGTCCCGGGGACCGGAGCGGGCCGACTCCGGGGGGCTGCCCCAGAGCTGGCTGTTGGGGGTGGGGGGGTTGGCAGAGCGGGTAGCTTTGGCAGTTTTGAAGAAGGGGCTGAACTCCATCCGCCTCTCCCGACCCGGGGATCCAGCGCTGCGACGCTGGAGCCCACCGGCCTGCTCAGTCGGATTAGGCTGGGCCAAGCGGTGACCCATCTGGTCGCCAAACGTGTGTCCCCTTCCAGGCCGGGCTCACCCTCTTTATTCCTGAATTTGCCCCCATAATCCTCACTTTACCGGTTTAAGCAATGTTGCCTTGATCTCAGGTACCAGATCCCAGAGAACTTAACTTTTTTACTTTTAATTCCTTCTGAATTGTTGGTATTAAAAAAAAAAAAATTAAGAGCAGGAGTTTGGGATGGCCTCTGCTCCACTCCTAGATGCCACAAATTCCATTCAACAGAAGAACCTTAAGACTCAAGCTGTTTCGGAGCTCCACATTGGGTGAAAATTGTTTGCAGATCCTTATCTTGGCCCCTCCCCATTACAAATTTACTACTAAGAATCATCCGGGAGGCTGTATTAAATGCTCAGATTCCTGAGTTCTACCCCAAACTCATTAATCAGACCTCTTGGGAATTCCTATTTTAAACCAGTGTCGCAGGAGAACTCGTCCCCTGGAACGTTTGGTAAACTCTGCCCTTCATCACAGCTTCTAAGCAGGATCTACCTGGGGCGTTGGTTATTGTGCAGGTGCCAGTCTGTCGGGAGGTAAGGGGAGATTCTGCATTTCTAAAGATCTCTCAGGTACTGTCTTGTCCTGGGGCTACAAACAGGAGCTGAGCACCTGAACTAAGACAATGAGGGGCGGGGGCAGCACCCTTAGAGCCAAAGGGTTGGAAATGTGAAGAGAAAACTAGTGATACAGACACTTTTTCCTGAACCAACTTCCCCATCTTGGAGATGCGTTTTATGACTCACAGGTCAATAACGTCTGTTGACAGGATGAATTGTGCATTGTCTGTTGAGCCTGTTAGATGGAGAATAGATGCAAATCTATTGTGCGTGTAACTCCAAGGTCACACACGGAAAAAAAGATGGACTGCTTTATTTAAAAGATTGAAACAAAATGAAGCCTAGGTGGGGGAGATTGGGTTACACGCAACTAATTTAGAGGGATGCTGAGACTAGGTCAGGATTCAAGGAGACTTGCCTTCTACCCTATCCCCCCCATGTGTCTAGAATCTAGCAAGCTGATCACATGACTTTCTGATCAGGCTGGAGGCATGGGAGGTGATAAGGAGTTGTATTCAGCTGGGGGGCCTGGGGTGGGGAGAGAGCCAGGATGGGGGGGTTTGTGGATCGGCTCTGGGTGCTACTGGTCTGAAAATCTAGGGAAAGGGGCTGAGTCTTGGGAGGGGGAAGCTGAAGACCAGAGGGAAGAAAGAACTCGCCCTCCTAGGTATCAGATAGAGCCAGCAGGTCAGGAGAGAAGGGATGTGGGCCTTGGGCAGCAAGACCCCGTTAGCTAAGGGAGCTGAAGTGAAGCACAGGGGATTTGGAAGCATGAGATCCTGCCCAGCCAAAGGAAGAGGGAAAGAGAGAGTGTGTGCCTCCACTCTTGCCAAACAGCCTAGGCTCTGAAAGCTGTGACTGTGAATCATGATGATGCGTTACTGAACAGCAACTGCCACATACTGACTTTTACCTTCCTTCCAGGAACATGCACTGTCTCCTTTCAGCCTCAAAGCAACCCTTGGGTTCTGAACACTGGTGAGCCCATTTCACACACAAGTGAGGTTTAGAGTGAATTCACCTGAAGGGCTTGCTTGCCTAAAAGGCAAGCTTGCTGGGCTCCACTGCCGAAGTTCTGATTCAATAGATAATGGGTGGGGCCCAAGAATTTGCATTTCCAACAAGTTCCCAGATAATGCTGAAGCTACTGGTCCTGAGTCCCCACTTTGACGACTGTGGGTTTAGAGGCCACCATGTAAATTGTCTGGGATCCTACAAGTTATGAGCTGTGGGGTCATGCGTTTCTATTGCAGAGCTGGACTTGAGCCTGTTACTAACGTTGTTCCTGTGCCTTGCAGGACTGGGTGGGAAACATCCGTACATTGCTCTTAGGAAGCAAGAGGACCCCCAGGTAGGGGACCAGCAGTGGAATGAGGAGTTGAGCCAGAGCTGCCAGTTTGGGACCTTCCACCCTGAGGGATGCTGGAGACAACATGCCAGGGTCTCCTCAAACTCTCTGTGACTCCTGAGGCCTCTGCATAGTCCAGAGAGCACCTGGCTGAGCTGCTCCAGGCTCCCTGGGCTGACCTGGCTGGGAAGATGCTTCTCAACGCACAATAGGACACCCCGTCGACTCACAGCGGTTCACGGCCTGTAATTCCAGTGCTTTGAGAGGCAGAGACGAGAGGATCACTTGAGGCAAGGAGTTTGAAAGCAACCGGGGCAACATAGCAAGACCCTGCTTCTATAAAAAATAAAAAGAACATTCTACAGGCATGGTGACACATACCTGTGATCCCAGCTACTCGGGGTACTGAGTCGGGAAGATCGCTTGAGCCCAGGAGGTCAAAGCTGCAATAAGCCATGATTGTGCCGCTATACTTCCGCTGGGGTAACAAAGCAACACCCTTACTCTATAATAATAATAATAACTTTAAAAATCAACCACACACAGCCAGGCGTGGTGACTCACACTTATAATCTCAACACTTTGGGAGGCAGAGGCAGGCAGATCACGAGGTCAGGAGTTTGAGACCAGCCTGTCCAATATGTAAAACCCCGTTTCCGCTAAAAAATACAAAATTAGCCAGGTGTGGTAGTGCACGCCTATATTCCCAGCTACTTGGGAGGCTGAGGTAAGAAAATCACTTGAACCCAGGAGGCAGAGGTTGCAGTGAGCTGAGATCACGCCACTGCACTCCAGCCTGGACAACAGACTGAGACACCATCTAAAAAAAAAAAAAAAAAATCAACACACAATGTCAGAGCTAAGATATCCCCAACTGAATCTCTGATAGAAAAGGCAGCTCTAGGGCCCAGGAATAAGTAACACACTTAAGGGTTTGAGTGGAACCAAAATTCAAAATTCTGATTTATAACCCAGACCACTACAACTTTGACTGGACAGAGGACTGGGCTTACCAACATTCTCTCCTGATAAGCTACTGCACACCTCAAGCCAGTTTCAGCAGCTAAGAGAGGCTGCATACAAACTGTCTTTGTGTCCTATAGTTCACATTCTGACGTAAAGAACCAAATGCCACCTCATTTTAACTAAAACCCTCTCCAAAGTGAACATGGGATGTAAGTTACATGTATGTTTACCCCATTGTGCATGCACTTGGCTCCCCTCATATAAATGAACAGGCTTTCCTCCAAACCTGCTAAATGTGAACAAAGGCCCTGTAAGGCAGAAAACTCAACATGCTGTCTTTGAAGAGAACACCTTTGGTCCAGCTGAAGACTGTCTCTTCCTGGTTTGTAAACTGACATCACCACTAATATTAGCCATCCTGGTGGTTTCCTGGATGACACAGGGAAAGACACAGTTTCACACTGCCAATCTGGGACTAAAGAGATTTTTTTCACCCCAGGATATGCTCCATAATAAGATATGGGATGAATAAGAATCTGCTTTTTTTTTTTTTTTTTGTAAATTGGGGATGGGTTATTGGGAAGATACTGCATTGTCCCAGATGTTTCAGTAGAAAACTTAGGAGCCAGGTGCAGTCGTTCATGCCTGTACTCCCAGCATTTTGAAAGGTCAAAGCAAGAGTTTTGCTTGAGGCCAGGAGTTCAAGACCAGTCTGGGCAACATACCAAGACCCTGTCTCTAGAAAAATATTTTTATAAAATAGAAGAAAACGCCGGGCACGGTGGCTCAAGCCTGTAATCCCAGCACTTTGGGAGGCTGAGGGGGGTGGATCACGAGGTCAAGAGATCAAGACCATCCTGGTCAACATGGTGAAACCCCGTCTCTATTAAAAATACAAAACATTAGCTGGGCATGGTGGCGTGTGCCTGTAATCTCAGCTACTGAGGAGGTTGAGGCAGGAGAATTGCCTGAACCCAGGAGGTGGAGGTTGCGGTGAGCCGAGATCGTGCCATTGCACTCCAGCCTGGGTAACAAGAGTGAAAGTCTGTCTCAAAAAAAAAAAAAAAAAAAGAAAAAGAAATAAAATAGAAGAAAACTTAGGAACATTGAGGCATTGGAAATTGATCCCCTTGGATCCATTCTTGCTGGCATTCTTCTGGGGAAATCAGTATGCATCTGCCATTTGAGCATCTCTGCCCTATCACCCTGTGGAGCTGGATCTCCTCCCAGCACTAGGGCTGTCTCACCCCACCCCACTGTAGTTAAAGGATTGAACCCAGTGTGTCCCCGGCTATGTGTCTCTCTGCCCTCTTTGATGATATTGTAATCTCCCAAAGCCAGGAGCTTAGCTTTGGGAGTTATATTTCTGTCTGTCTGTCTGTCTCCCTCCCTCTCTCTCTCTCTCTCTCCACACACGTCTGTGTGTGTGTGTGTGTGGCCTCTGCCTCTACACTGCTCCATAAATACTTGTGAAAGTCAAGCTTGTGATTTTCCTTGGCCCGCTGCAAGATCCTCACCATGAAAGAGCCTCAACCCAGCCTGAGCCTGGAGATTGAGTCAGTGACATGTAATTTACAAAGACGAAACAAGCAAGTGACTTCTATGTTTTTTGGGGCTGCTGGGAGAGCCCTGCCGGCACCTCCCCAAATCTCAGTACACTTCCCCTCCTCATAGCAAACTCACTGATAGCTAGAATGCTTTTAGGCTGCCAGTGCACCTGGGAAGGACA